ATATCGCCTACCTTCACCACTTATCGTAATTCCTAGGCCTTTGTTAATGCGCGACGCTGAATATGAGGCTTCAGTTACGCCCAGTAGTCAGTTCAATGGCCAACGACGGCCAGCCATGCTCTTAAATGTACTCATTCCATCTTCCAAGGTTGCTTAAAGTAATGGCCGGGCCCATGCACATGCTCTTAGCTGGCCATAATATCCCAACTATGCATAATTGACTAATCCAAGAAACAACGGCGGTCCGTCAAATCCATGCGTTGTCCACCTGCCAACTCATGCTTAAAAAATACACATCTACCTTTACGGAATCATTTTCTGTGTATTGGCTGCATCGGTATAAACATGGCATGTGGTCAATCCGGTTCTCAGTTTTACACTCGACAGGGTTTCTGAAAAAATATATAATCAATTACGACTCGTAAACATCTTCTGATATATCATTTAAAACACAATTAAACAGAGTTGTAGTGGCTAACTCACAAAGTGCTTAACAAACACATCTGTTCACAATTCCCGGTCGGTGTCCGCGCTGAACCTGAAAACCTACTGCTATTAAGGTAAACTCGCTACTTGCTCAATTGGTCCAATTGGCAACAACGAAAGTGCAGCGTGTACATCGATGATTCGATGGCTGGATTTGGCAACCATATGCATTATTGGGCGCAGCGAAGTTAAAGCTAAAGAGGGGTGTATACTTGTCAGTCGCAAGAACAAGTGGTGTGGACTTGAGCCCTAGGATCCAAAGGCCACATGCGTCCTAAACCGTGCACCCATGGATGCAGCGTAGTGAATATCTAGTGAGTGGACGGGTGCTTTGTGTCAAATCCGCCCGTTTAGAGCCAAGAACTCTAAGTTCATTCGATTTCTTCTCTCTGAGACCGATAACACATAGCTTACTAAAATCGAGAGCTTGGTCTTCCTCAACAAAACCCGTATCCATCACACACAGATCAGGTCTCACAGCCATACAACAGAACAACAGAACAGAACTGCAGCCCGATACACGAATTACTTGATATTCACGGATTTATCACCTTGACGCCATAGGCGTTTCAAGTTGGAAAACGCGACCCGGGTATTGAAGGTTCGTGCATTGACCTCACCGGTCACTTTTGAATCAAAAATAATACGACGTCGTATGTATATGTAACGCTGCACCACCTCCCCAGCGAGATCCGAAAAATACCTGGGATCTTATGTAGGTTTTTGTTCTACCTCTTAGGATTCCCTCGGCTAACCAAAAATATGATGAATTCCTTGGCTTCGGCGGAACGCTTACCGCAACGACAGAAGACTTTTTTAACACAGGTCGCGAATGGCCGTTCTAAGTTGAGTTTGCATAGACGTAAGGAGCGCAACTATTGCCTAAGTCTGTTTTAGATTATTTTCCAATCCAATACGTAGGAAAAAGCGCAAAGAAACAAGCTTCCACACGAAATTTTGGCGCCATTTTCGTATAGACAAAACAAGAAGCCACCAGCAGCTAATAAAATACAAATTCCGCGCACACAGTAGACTCAGAATTCGTTTAAACAACTTGTGATAAAACTGCGACCGCATGAGGGAGATCTTAAGTGCCCGAATAATTACCATCATATGGTAAAGCTTTATGTTAATGTTTCCGAGACATTTTGGGTGTGTCTCGGGCGTGGCGCTGCAGGGTCACGAATACTTTCTTTTCGTTTGGAGGACCGCGTGAGTGTAGATCGAAGACAAGCCAGCTTGAATTTATAATGGTTGCACGAAGCTTTTGGACAAAAACAGTTGATGTTTGAAGCTTGGAAAGAGTGAGAATGAGAAAGGAATTGGACGACAGCGGTAGAGTTCGGTTAGTCTTAGAGGCGTCATACAAGACGGTGTCAATTTACAGAAAGATTGAAGATGAAGACAGCAAGCTGAATGAACCCAGGAAAGGGTGGATTTGTTTGCTGACCCGGAAACCAAGTACTAGCTGGTCTAGAGAAGACGCCCAATTTTGGGAAGGTAAGGACATTGTCGGTGAGGTGTGTAGCAGGGGCTCGGATGCATTGCGGTACTTTTAAGCCTATAAAAGAACCCGAATACAGGGTCTCCGCTGTGCAAAGAGAGGGAGAGTGTTTAGATAATAAGAGAGGCAGAGAAACGGGGGCGGGTACAAGCAACAAAGATAACAGAGCAACTGTTCACTGAATTATCAAGTTCAAAGTTCAGCTATCTATGAGGTAACTTGCCGCATTGAGTTCTGGTTATTACGTTTCCAATAGTTTCAAAAATTCAGCTCGAGTAAACTTCAACGGCCAACAGGTTTGAGTACCATATATTCTCTCCAGCAGTCAGTTGTGTCACTCAGAGTCAGGCGCAAATTCCGAAGCGTCATCTCGTCCAAATTGTAGATTTTTTTAAAAAAAGAATGCGGTAATATGAACACAACAATGAAGCAATAAAATTGCACAAACCGCAAATCGTGGGATTACGCTTGCTTCTTGCTGCTAATTCATAAAGGAATCCCAAAGTCCATACTGACTGGAGGCACTGTGGCCAAAAACTAGCTGACATCGCATGTCGATTTAGGCAAAATGGGCGAGTGCAAGGTCAAAAAGCTGTTTATTATCAAGCTGATAACAAGAAATGTGAAACAACAAAGACGGGATCACGTTAAAAACAATGCGAATTGAAAACTAAACAGTACCCTCCTGCATCCAAAGTCTTTGCAACATCCATAAGTACACGTTTGTATGTCTAAGGTTTTTGAGATGAAGTAGAGACGCTCTTGCTCCAAATGCACCCCTCTAGCCTCTATTTTGTGTGCGTCCAACAATGCTGAAGATCGCTGAATTTCGACGTTGCCACCTCAGCATAGACACTAATCTTTCATTGCCAACAACTGAGATAAATGAGAAAATGGAAAATTTTCCCTTGTAACATTAAGAATTTTCAGTGTCTCTGTAGAGGAATAGCTGTTTGTGGGAGACGAAAAACGAAGCGACAGCCTCTTCCCTTTGTACACAATTGCATTGAGTAAATAGAAGCAGGCCACCAAAGATGGTTTTATAATTTCCCGGCACAAACGTAACAGAACGACACAGCATACGGTTATTACGATGAAAGGCCGCTGCTGGTCACTGAAGAAGAAACTTATTTTACTGTTGGTGTGCTTTCTACTGAAAGGATTCTCCACCAAATTCTTCTTTTGCGCAATTCTTTGGAGGACGATGTGTTTTTCTCTAATATTTGCTCATACATGAGGATGAGCGTAAATTCACTCAGATGCCTAGCGGTGGGCATTTCGGTTCCCCTTGGTCACGTTTGAGGCTTTGGCTGACGGACTCATGGGCGACAACTATGTCCACATTCTAGGAGGCCATTTTTGGGGGAGTTGAGTTGGAGCTTGGCGGTTCCACATTCTAAGAGTTTGTTCGATTCTCGCAGCATTCCCCGATGCCGAGGTCAACGCAGGTTGGTTTGTCGGTAGGCATCGACGCTTGTCTCCGCACGTCTGACACAGCCCAGCTCAGAAGTTGAGAGGTATGTGGAATTCACTGCTGCAACTTTTATAGTCTCTTGTGGAAAGAAACGTTGATAGCTCTACATTGGGCGCTGCATCCACGTGAGGCTTGCCTCCTCCCGAGAATTGCTGCCTTTGGTAGTCGTGGGGTCTGTGGTAGTTGCGTAGAAAGTACTATCCAGAGTCGCGGTCGGTTGCGTCGACGCGCTACCAGGAGCACAAGAAACTATACATACAATGGGTTAGGCCATAGGGTTGCGGCTGGCTGAACTGGGGTCAAGTGGGAGCTTGTTTCACACCTCTTCCCTAGAATTGCTGTGGCCCAGCTTTCGCGCCTTTAGAGGGCGATCCTCAGATAGACGGCTGATCGCTTTGTGGGTTTTTGAATTCTGACAGCCGGCAGATGGGGAAGAAAGTGAGCCCAGAAGCCGAAATTTTTGCTTGCTCTCCTTCTGGCACAATCGATCTGCGTGGAGCGATTCGTGGCCAGGCTTTGTCGGCACACTACGAAGGTGCGAATGAGCCTGCTTAGTTGGCTTGATTTTTTTGATTGCCACATCCGAGGGCTGGAGGACCTTCTTCGCAGCCAGTGGTCCGGGATGAATAGTGTAAGGCATTCGTTCGGTGAAGAAATTTCTTTACCAGCTTTCGTCCAGGTGTCTGCCTTCTTTGTGTTTGTATCATCCGGAGAAAGAAGGGCCCGTTTAGCGTCGAATATCCCGATTGAAGCGAAACATTTCCGCTGGTCCTTGTGATTCAGACGTAGAGATTTGGTTTCGTTTTCGATGGCTTTGTTCTTAGTCACTGAATGCGTTGCACCCTAATGTCGAGGCACTTCGCGCACTCTAACGGGTCAGGAGAGTTTACCTGGACGTTCTGTAAACCGAGGCATTTAAGGTGCCTCCACGCCTCGCGGAAATGGCACTGCATACCGCGTCTTACATTCGGTGGACAGTAATTTCGCCCACATCTGTTTCGTTCCACCGATGCAGCCATCGAGGAGCCCTATTGATTGGTGCCATGATTGAAAATGAGTGCAAAATAGGAAGTGAGTGCAAAATAAAACAGATTATCACGCGGATGCTATGTTAGAGTGAGACAAGTAAAAAATGACGCGTATTTACTCTTTAAATAGGTCGAACAATGAAATAATTCATTCACAAATGTGCACGAGGTAAAAACGAAATAAATTTCGAAGGAACCGCGCTTGTAAAACCTATGGATAAACTCTGAGTTCAATGGTTTCATATCTTTCCACTCTGGAAGGTAAAGTGTTTCAATGGCTTTCCGTAATGAATCGATGATAGGAACCTGCGTTTTCGTCAGGTCTTTTACTCGCTTCTATTCCTCAACGGCGGCTAACTCGATCGCCTCGGACAGTGCGTTCTCCGCCGTCGGTCTCCGAATCGGTTTGCGTGAAAGGGTTCATCATCTCCGCTTATCAACCATGGCGGCTGAGGAGAAAGAAGTCGTACGTTACATGTCCTAACCAGATAACTTTGGCCAACAGTGCCCGCTGTGTATGGAACCTATGGAAGCAGATGACCTTGCGTTTTACCCTTGCGACTGCCGCTATCAAGTACGCATTCAAGCTCCATAGATTTATGTATAGGTTTGTCGGTTTTGTTGGGCAAAGATTATCAATGAGGAAAATGGGCTGTGCCCAGCCTGCCGCAAAGAGTACAACTCAGAAAAGCCAGCACTTTATAAACCCGTATCTGAGGCTGAGTGAGTATTAATTCGCATCACGCGTAATTGTTCCAGAGATGCAAAACTGAAGGCAAATAGAAAGCGAAAGGAGAACTTGAAAAAAACGAAGCTGAGTGCCGAAATGCTAAAACTATTACCGGAACTAAGGTTTGTGTGCATTGACCTGTGTCATGTTTCGAAGGGTGGTGCAACCGAACCTGATATTTGTTGTTGGCCTTCCGGCGTGGATCTGTAAAGACAAGGAAGTACTGAAGGGTTCAGAATACTTTGGGCGGTATGGAAAGGTTTTCAAGGTGGAAATTAACCAAAATCAGACGTTTGGTGGCCCACAGGTCAGTTACCGTCGTGTAATATGTTCCTACACTGACAGTTCGCTCTTTAATTGCATTCGTTCGATTGGTTTGTGGTGGATACTTTCTTGCCACTAGGCACCATCGTTTGCGTTATTTGCGTCGCATAATGTCAATGACGAGACGAAGACTCCGTGACGACGGATCACGGACCTCTCGGAAGTCTCATGCAGACATCAAGACATGGATACAGGCGGATAGATTCCGCCACGGAGGATAGCTCGGGCGCTGGTCTGAGTGGTGTTACTAACATCCAGACTACTCTAGCGTCATTTTCACTTTTCATGTGCCTTCCGCTTCAGCACCATTGGTTTGTCGTAGAGTGCCCCATCATCGTTACACTTGGGTTACGCCCCTACGGCGTCCACATAAACGGTGTCACTGATTAATTTAGAGCTAAGATACCTCTGTAGATGGTGTCCACTACGTTTCTAATACGTTATCAACATGAGAATCGAGCTCTGACTCCACCCGAAAGAGTCCTATTTAGCATGTACAGCACGTGATGCCCATTACAGTTTGTACCGGATGCCTTCCTCGGTTGTCCGTTTCTGAACAACTTGCAGCCTCCTTGGCACCAACCCACGCACCAGGTCGGCTGTTCAGCTTACCATCGTCATCGCCATCAGAGACGTGGACATCACTGTTGACACTGATTCTTTACTACTGTACAACCACTAAGTTTCTAATTATAGCTAAAGTGTTAGAGTGAAAAGATAAAAGGAGAGAGGGGACCTCGTTGTGACATAACACAAGCATTATGAGATGTCTATAGCTCAAACCGCTGTCAGATAACCTGCAAGGAAACTGGCGGCACGAGCAACATTGACATTGACCAGCCAAGCGCAGGTGTCGCGGGGACCTTATCTTGGAAGACGGAACGCACCGGCAACAAACTACCCCTAATCTCGTTCACACCCTTATGCCAAGTCATGCGTTGTCCATCTCCTGGCTTGCGTCATTCTCAGAGACGGGAGTCGCGTTTTCCTCGGCAGACAGTGATTCGGCATGGCCGAGCTACCGCAGTCAATTCCGTTGAATGTTTTCCGCGGATGAAGTGCCGATTGCATAATCAAACGCCCTATTTCTATTCACTTCGTCACGACGTCGTCTTCATTTATTCGCGGAGACTATATATCGCAACCGTACAATAATAAGGGTCTTGCTGTAGCCTGACGCATGCCACCCTTGAGACAGTTATATCCTGTTTTGACGCCGCAAGTGACGTAAATTGGCAAACGTGATTCAGGACTCAAAGATTCGCTCACTGACTTCATCAGGCATACTTCCGTCAGAGCTAATACAACTTTTGAGGTACGTGGAATTCTCCCTCCTTTAATCGTAAGGGGTATCTTCAGATACTGAACAGTGCAATTGGATGACGCAAGACACATGCCAAAGGGTAGTGTGGTGGTGGCCAGTTTATTCAGCAGGGCTTGTGCTGCACCTTCGTCTTCAAAGATGAGTGCGATGTTGTCTGCATACTCCAGTTGAACAGGATTTTCACCAGCAACGATTTGAATACCAGGGTTTCAGGGACTTTCCGGCATTCGCCTCATTGTGAAGTATCGGTGCTGAATACATTGTCATCACGATAATAATGATGGTCGCCTCAATGTTCCACCAATGAGAAAGTTGAGCAAGAACTGACAAAGTGAACATCCCTGTCGGACACCACTTTTATGCAGAAAGGCTCTTGGAAAGCTCATCGTGCACTTGTACATGCCCGGAAGTATACGAATATAGGGATCGGGTTATTTTAACAAACTTTAGGAGCATACCCTGTAGACAAAGTGCTTTTAACAGTGCTTTTGACAAAATCGAACACACCCCTGAAGTCAAGAGTTGATCGTCTGTTGATATGGCGTTGCTCTTCCACCTGACAGTTTAATGGTGTCGACCAACTTTTACCCGGGTCGGGGATTCGCGTGTTTGTAAGACGATGGGCATTCGGTGACGCTGGAAACCTTGTTACAACGGCAGTACGCACTGTGAGTCCCTTTTTGTAGATAAGTACTATTATCGATGCAACCAGTTGTCTGGGATGATCTCTTTCTCCAAGATAGACGAATAAGGCTAGGGGGCACTGCCTACCATCCCTGGATAAAGTAGATGGAAGGTTTGCACGGACAGTCAGTTTCACCTGGCATCGGATAATGCGTTGAGCTGTGGTTGCTGCCAGGAGGAATTTGTCGCTGGGCCTCCAGCAAAACCATGGTGCGATGCTTCGATGTGGTTATCTGATCTGTACCACGAACAAATGTTCCATTTTCCAGTAGCAATTTGGATATCTGTTTCGAGTGGTCGTTAATATCCAACACGCAATCATCCGGGCATATATTGGAGTAGCCAATTCTGATGAGTTCTTTTGATTTTTCGTTCCACTAGCTTAATGGCCGAGCGAGGTGTGCGCGCTTGCCTAGACCCGAGAAGCAACAGCGGGCAAGTACACTGTCGGAGTCCACGCTCAAGCCTCAGAAGGAGCTGCAGGCAGTAATGGACCTTCACCACCGGTAACTAACGGTGACATTCAACCCAAGACAACCGTTGAGTTGGGTCTCAGTAGCAGTTAGGTGGCCTACTTCATTCATGTCACCAGCAGCCAGAATGATGTCTGAGCATTTAGCCGATTGTGGAAGAGCGCCTGAAGCGCCATAGAACTTGTCTTTACGAATTCAGAAATGCACTCCGTAAACCAGGAGCGATCAAGCTCACTTTCTCGAGATTCTTTCACGTTGCCAAACGAATCGCGCACTGAGGCGAATATCAACGGTCATCTATCATGAAGGTAAGATTTCTTGAGAAAAAATCCCAGGTTGCTCGGAGCCTATTAAGGCCCTAAAGCTCCACGAAAATATCAGTAGGGAAGCCGTCAAGCATCCGGTTAAGAAAGTTTCCAATTAGACGCTGAAGCGGTCAATCAGTTCGGTAACGACCGGTGGTGACGATTGTTCGTTTATTTCACAGAAGTAGCGCCTACCAATCGCCCAAAGCCGATCCACCAGCTTGGAATTGAGGGTCAGAGGTGCGCTTTTAATTACGCGACGCTCCTTGTAATTTTTGCAACCGCTTGCAAAGCACGTTGTTGCAACAGCAACAAAGCTGTTATGTTCCTTTGTGGTGAGTCTTTCCAACACTAAGGTACTGGAGCGAGCACCCATGTGAATACGACAATCACTGCTAAGGCATTGAGGGGAATTATGCAACAACTAAATTAGTTTGAAGTGACACAGTTGCGACTGATGGAAACCTTGACGCAGGCGTCAACTTTCTCTCTAGTCCCAAGTTCCTTCCCTTCGATCGCCAACATCGTCACGGAGTTCCACTATGAGCTTTATTTCGGATTAATCGATTCGTTACTAAGAGCAACGTTACTCAAGCAGAAAATGGTGCCTGACGAGCGCGGTAATTTCCAAAAAAAAGCCGCCGCACCAGAACACACTTTATTCCAACTTTACCCTGCCAAACACACGAGACTCCAGCTTCGGCGAAAGCGTGCAGCAACTCAGAAATGTTCTGTGAGCGTTCGTCCTTGTATAACGTTGGCTATCAGTATATGGAAAACTACACTTAGGCCGATAGAGTTAGTCTTTAATGTGAACGACCCAAACTGTCTACCATGACGGAAGACCAGTTCAGGTGTCTAATTTTCCTACGCGACCTCCGATCACATTCAGAACGAGGCTATTGAACAAGATCTGACGATTTCCCGAACTAACGCTGCAGGTCATTACTCACGAGCGCCAGCGTCTCTTGAATTTCAAACACGACACGACCATGTTGGAGCGACCGGTATCCATCCTGCTTTCAGTATTGCCAGCGGCAGCCAGTACGGCAGCGGGACATCGGTGTTATTAGCTGATGTCATGCTGTGTGCTGATCGCAGGCTGTTTTTATGCAGTACGAACTTCCGAAATAGCCGAAGTCATCTGGCCACTTGGTGTCCTCCAACAACAGGCCGGCCACAAACTCAAATCGACCACACTGACATCAGTTACCGATGGCGCGGATCCATTACTGACTGCCGGTCGTTTTGGAACACAGTTGTGGACTCTGACCACGCGCTCGTCCGGATTCGCTTCTCCCTACGTTTCCCGGGGCCGCGTAAGGTGCGGACAAATCGCATGGCAACTGAAAGACTGGCAGATCCGGATGTCAGACGAACTTACAAGAATCGTCTTCTAGAGTCTCTTCCAAGTGCTCCACCATCAGATGTGAACACATACTGGGACGAGATTGCTACCTCTTTGCATAGTGCTGGGAATTTTGCCTGTGGCACGACCCAACCAGGCGCACTCAAGCACTGGATATCAGACGGAACGGTGTCACTACTTAAATCTCGAAGAAATATCTCAGCCGGTCCCGAACATAACCGGGTGCGAAGAGTTATTAGACGTCAAGTGAAAGTGAGCTTGCAGGTAAGGTGGACACAGGAAGCCCAAGAAATGAAAAAGGCCCAGAAAGCCGGTAATGCCCTGAGATTATTTCAGTTGA